AGAGAGAGAGAAAACAAAAAAAGAAAAGAAAAAGAAAAAGGAGAAGACTCTCAACAAGATGGATTGACATAATGGGCTGAAGCATAGCAAAGATTATGAGGATAGCACAGGCCCAGGCAGAGCTTCATTCTGTTGCATACAGGGTCACTATGCCAACTCAATGGCACCTAACACCAACATGACAGATCTGGAAACAGCACAATGCTCAAGGCAGGCATTCTTTACTAGTTAAGCTAGACTACTGTTTGGTTTGAAGAAGACTTTAAGGGGTATTTTTGGTCTCAGTTTTAAAGATTATCTCAGGGCAGTAGTTTTGGGGGTTCATCTAGCCCTCTTGGCTCCAGAAAGTGTAGAATTCATAAGAAATTGAAATTCTGTTCTGTATTTTTCCCCTTTTGATCTGGATTCTTCTATACTTTATATCCATCGTGGAAGGGGTGTCTGGATGGGTAGGAGTTAGGACAGAGAAGGGAGCAACAAGCTTGAAGACAACAACTAAGTAGGAGGACTCACGTTTTCTGACTTCAAAACACACTATAAAGCCACAGTAATTAAAACAGTCTGGTACTGCTATAATAATAGATATATAGTTCAATGGAATAAAATTGAGAATCTGGAAATAAATCCATGTATCTATAGTCTACTACTTTTGGACAAGGGTACTAAGTCCATCCTATAAGAAAGAGTCTCTTCAGTAAATGGCACTGAAAAAACTGGCTTTCCACACACAGAAGAATGAATCACAATCTAAGCCTCACATTATACACAAAAACCAAATCAAAACCAGATCGAAGATCTAAATGTGAAAACTAAAGCCGTAAAATTGTTAGTAGCAAATGTAGGGGCATGGTTGCTGCTAACTCCCAGTGCAAACCACACAGGTAAATCATTTTAAGAACTGAATATTTGGAGAATTTTAGTCCCCTCACTTGACTAAGGTCAATTAGGAATGGGAGAACAACTGTTTCTACTGGTGAAAAAGGCATTGTAGAAAGATGCCCTAAGGAGGCTCAGGCCACTATGCCTTGAGCCCAAATGAAAGAAAGGAACCACAACAGAACCCTGTAAATCCTGGATGCCCATTGTATTGCATGTCCAGTACCAAGATTGGAAGAAGATCTTGCTGAATGTAGCAAGCAGAAAAACCAAGTATTTTGCATACTATAAACTTTTCTGTTAAACGGTAAGGACCTCTGGTAGTACAGTGGTTAAGGCATTTGGGTACTAACTAAAGGTTTGGCAGTTTGAACCCACCAATCACTCTGCAGGAGAAAGATGAGGCAGCCTACTTCTATAAAGAATCATGGCCTTGGAAATCCTATGAGACAGTTCTACTCTGTCCTTTCGGGTTGCTGTGAGTCAGAATCATCTTGATGGCAGTGGGTGGGTTAAAGGGTAAGGCACTATGGGGGTTGCAATAGTACCTTCATTGGGTGGGAGGCTGAACCAGATTGACCCTAAAGATTCCTCTCAATCTGAGTCCTGAGAGACCCCCATTAATATGACATCGTGGCTGACATAGCCCAGATATTCTAGAAGCTCCGCTGAGGAACAATTGTTGACCCCAAGGTAAGGAAGCTAGATTAGAAAACAATGTGGGATCCTAACATAGTTTTACTTAATGTAAGGAGGACCTTTTCTTATGATTAGAGGGGGAAGAAACCTATGGGGGTGGGGAGAGAGAGAGAGAGAAATTACAAACACATTCTTCTAAGACAGGGGTTAATGCCCTCAGCTGTTAATCAAAAGGTGGAGGTGCACATCCACCCAGAGCCTCCTTGGAAGGAAGGCTGAGTGACCTCCTCAGAAAAATCAGCCCCTATAAGCCCCACAGAGCACAGTGCTACTCTGACACACACCAGTCACCGTGAATCAGAACCAACTCAACAGCAACTGGCTTTTTTCCTTAAAGATACAAGGCAGCAAGTAATCATGCTGTCATTTTTTTCCCTTGTACCTCTTTATTCTTGCCCATTTTTATTATCAAAGACACGCCAATACAGAAAATAAAATGCAGCACTCAAAGATTCAGGAAGTTCTTTGTCTACGAAAGAAATAGTTTTAAATTGCATGTGAAAGACTACCTCCCCCACACACTTTTTTTTTTCTTGCTGGAGGTAGTGAAAAAGGGAAGACCAAGTGTGAAGCTCTGTGAAGATTCCATACTAAAAAAATCTAAATATCATTATGGATCACTATTAAGAGTTCATATTTAAAAGAAAGCAATTCACATCTTACTTAGAGACATTTATTGTTTCGCTCCAACCTCAAATTTAATCTAGTTAACATTCCTAAAAGGTGCTTTTTAGAAATGATTGCTAAGAAAACAAAACTACTAGCCAGTAAAATGATCATACCTGAGAATATGGCAAGAGTTAGCTCGGGATAGGCCCTTGCCAATTCCTCTGACAGCTGGTAATATGAAACAGAATACAGATGTGGCAGGGGAGACAGCTGGCTAAGCACCCCATCAGTTCTCTGAACCTCCAATTTGTGAGCATAGCGAAACATCTTCGGTTCCAGAATCTATACAGAAATGCAATTACATCAACTAAAGTTAAGATTTTATGATCCTCCAAATTTCAACTATAATTAACTTTGATTACAAAAGACTTCTACAAAGAAATACTAAATATAAATATTTGATATTTATAAGGTTAGTAAATACCAAAATAATTTAAAACATTATAAAGTATCTCAGATGTTAACTTCTAATTCCAGGAAATGTCTGCAGAGGACTTTTAAGTGTTTAAAAGGATTTTCATTTCTTGCATTTAATGCCAATGATTCAGGTTAGTAGCATCATCTGAAAATAACTTCAGCAACTTCACGTATAATTACTTGCAAAAGATTTACCACTTTTCTAGCTAAAAAATGATTATATAAAACATGTAAGTAAAAAAAAAAAAACTTCAAATAGATGTTAGTTATTCATAGATTAAATATGGAGTATAAGCTAAACATCCTTTTAACATTACAGTATGGAACAAACTACAAAACAAAACACTGGAATTTCCAGTTAATTAATAAAAACATTAGGCTATAATTCCTAAGATGGTCCTACTACTATCAGTATCACTACCAATTCTTGCAAAAACCAGCATTTCCTAGAATCCTATCATTATATCTTAGTTAATAATGAAGAACCATATCCTGTCATTAATGAGTTATTGGTTGTTGTTTGTTGTTGTTATGTGCCGTCGAGTCAGACCCGACCCATAGTGACCCCTCCTTGGGTTTCCAAGGCAGTATCACTATGGAAGTAGATTGCCCCATCTTCCTTCTGAGGAGTGGCTGGTGGGTTTGAACCTCCAGCCTTCTGGTTAGCAGTCAAGTGCCTTAGGCACTATGGTACCAGAGCTCTAAGTTATTTTTCTTAGTTTAATAAAGAAAAGTTATACAAGGATATCCTGAACAAGTCGATCGTTTTTCACTTCACTCTCAAAAAGGCATCTGACTAACATTATCACATAGCCTGAACCACACACCTTTTGTATTTTCATACATATATATAAGCATGTATGTTGTGTGTGTGTGCAGGGGTAACATATATAACATTTCTAAAATGTACTTCTGAATGGTTTGTATTACTTAAAAATCTACATGACCCATATTATCTTTTTCTTCCTACAATCAAGACTTGACACTATAGTCACCATTAGAAATAAAGCTGAATATTAGTAATAGTATAATTGAAAGGCATATATAAATCATTGGAGCTTCAATAAACCTTCAGTTAAAAAAATTTTTTTTAATTTGCATTTGCCTACAAACCTGTAAGAGTTGCATGGCGACTTCATAAATGCTTCTAGAAGAATCAGCTGCTTTAAATAGTATCAGGTTTAGGAGCATCACTGTGTCACATTGATAATCCCTAGGGACAAAGTGTAAAGGTTAGGTAAACCTTTAATGATCAGAGATCTTCACACCTGTTAATAAATGCGGCTGCTTCAGATTTCATATATAAAGGGCAAGGCTGTAGACATTTTGTCCTAAGACTATGAGCTGATTCTTTTTTTAAAAGGTAACAGATGCCCAGTGATCATTATCCTTATTTTGATTAAATTTCATTAGCACTTGAAAGGAAATACTAGCTTTCTTAGTACTTCTGAATTCAAAAAGAAATTTCTTTTTAAAAAAGAAAGAAAGAAATCTAATCAAAATATTAAAGAGAGTATCTAGCGTACCTGTTCTGGAATACATTGGCTATGGCTTTAAAGCAGCCAGCTGCCACTCTCTTGGAACCAGTGTAACATCGATCCACAGCCCAGTACATCAGGTTGCTCTGATCAGGGTTCAGCTCCAGCAGTAATGTGACTGCTTCACAGCCCAGCTGATGAACCTGGTAGAGGTGGCAGCATTGCCCAGGACAGAGGACATCAATACATCATTTACCCATTTCTCTACATTTTTACTAAAGTCCTATCACACATATATTGATTATAATCTAATCATATAATTCAGCCTTTGTTCAAATTTTTTTTTGTTTTATTCTGTCAGCAGGAAAAAAAAAAAAAAGACATGGGTAAATTATCCCTGGTCTGCTGCTAAGACCCTTAGTCATAGGATTCTTTCCTCCAGCAGAGCCCTGAAGGCAGCTGATGAATATGAATAGTGATGAAGTGCTCTCAGAAAAATGAGTCATTAACCTCTCCAATTACTTTTATCAAGCTTTGTTCTAGTTTTTTGATAACCCAATAAAAAACTCTTCTCAGAAGAAGTATAAAACCTCTTTGAAATTGAGAAGTCTGTATGTGTACAGTATGAGAGCAAGGATGGCAAAGAGTAAGGAGAACAAGAAAGAATGATTCAGTGGAGAGTGGCCAAAAACGAAATGAAATACAGAAAACAACATTTCCATCAGGAGAAAATATGGGTGTGAGCTGCTGTATGGAAAATGAATCTTCTTTGTAAATTTTCACCCAAATCACAATAAAATTTAAAAAAATAATAACAACATGTCTTTTCCAGGGGGTGCAATGTAGTGGACATTATTTTATTTCAAGGCTTAAACCCTATTGCAAGATATATATGCAGCCTACCTAGAGATGCAAAAAAAAAAAAAAAAGATATATGCACAGTGTAATTTATTAATCTTGTATTATAAAAGATTAGTAAAAATTATACAAGTGAGTAATAGAAGAACTAGAACTTTCTTAGATTATGTTATCTTACTTAAATTTACTATACTATATACATATATATGTATGGCATCTAGCATCTAATTCTAACCTTTCTTATTTTACAAAAAATGACTTGCTCTTAATGGACCATCTTAAGGGAATTGTCATAATTACCTTTTTGTCCAGAGAGTCCAAAATGTTATCCAACCATTTATACAAATAGCCATCTGATGAAAGTCCTACATTATCTGCAACAGGGCCACAACACAGTACAGCAGACATAGCCTTCAAATAATAATATTAAAATTACATTTAAAAAATTTAACTGGTTAAATGGTGGTTGCTTAATGAGAACTGGCAAGATATTTGTACTCATGCTGTATCTACCATAAATACCTGTAACTGTTTTTTTTGTAAAAGATAAGCATTAACAATGATTTTTAAAACTAAGAATTTATCATGAGCCATACATAAATAGCATGATACCAAACTAGACATGGAGTTTGAACAGTACAATAACAGAAAAAGAAAAGACCAAAACAAAGTTCTTAAGCAGAAAAAAAATAAAATAATAAAATAGGTACAACTTTGAGGTAATGCTCAATTCTTTGAGAAATCATATTCAGACTTTTTGAACTTGCTTGTATAGTATTTTATGCATTTAAATAAATGTATATAGTGAAGCTCTGGTGGCACTGTAGTTAAAGCATTGGGCTGCTAACCAGAAGGGCAGCTGTTTAAACCCACCAGCAGAGAAAAAACGAGGGGAGAAAGATGAGGCAGTCTGCATCCATAAAGATTTTCAGCCTTTGAAACCCAAAAGACCAGGATTACTGGTCTGATTGAGACTACTGAAACCTGCCAGATTATGGCCCCAAGTCATCCTTTGGGCCTGGAATTGGACTCACTCCCATGGCTCAACTCTCAGCCAAATAATAGACAGGGCTACAAGCTGAACACCTAAACCAGGAAGATGCATTCCTTAGAACAGTCAACCGTGGGAGACTGGAAGGGCTGCATTAGCACAGGGAGAAAGTTAGGCAGGTAGGAACGCGTAGGTAAGGACACAGGGGAAGACTTGGAAGCAGAGCTGTCATATTGGGAGGCGCTGTAATCAGTATATGTACGAGCTGTTGAAGGTTAAACAAATTTGCTTTGGAAGACTATACCCTAATCACAATAAAAAGTTAAAGAAAGAAAGAAACCCTGTGGGGCAGTTCTACTCTGTCCTATATGGTCACCATGAGTCAGAATCAACTTGAAGGCAGTGGGTTTGGTTTTTCGTTTATGGTGTAGTATTGGAATCAAATATATGTTCTAATACTCTCAGGAGGAGCTCTGAGAGCATACTGCCTAAGGCACTTGACTGCTAACCAGAAGGTAGTACAAACCCACCAGCCACTCCTCAGAAGGAAGGCTGGGCAATCCTACTTCTGTAGTGATACCACCTCAGAAACCCAAGGAGGGGTCGCTATGAGTCGGGGCCGACTCGACGTCATATAACAACAACAAAAACAACAATACTCTCAGGTACTCTGAAGAAATTCTTATTCTCTATAATATCTGGCATTGTGATGCATTAAAAAAAATTAACTTTGCTCTAAACATAAAGAAAAAATGAATCTGATTTCTAAGTACATACCTTTAATGCACAGTATTGATGTCTATTAATTTGCATATTTCTATCACTGTATCTATCCAAGGGTGTAAACATGATGCTAAAAGGACCTGCCCAGTGACTGAACAGCATAAACAGACTGTGACGAAGGCTCTGTTGAGGGAAAATACTTCTTCTCTGGTGTACTGTGGAAAACAAAAGATGGACAAAATTTCTATTTCCTTTTACTTTAACAAGCATGTCAAATTATTTGTTACTGAATATATAAATAATACAAAAAGAAAGAAAGCAGAAGTTTTCATTTTAGCCTACCAACAAAGCTCCACAATAACAGAAATCATTTCTGTATAGGCAAGTTCCAGAAACAAAGTTGAAGTCTATACTACTATGTGGTACTGCATCACTCTCAACAGGGCATCTTGGCAAGGAGAAATTCCACAGCAGGAACCACGCACAAGGCTAGCTCAGAGCTGGAAGTCAGGACCCCACTTTTCTCCTACTGGAATTGATAGGTAAGGTTGTTCAAGACATGAACACACCTCTGGGACATGGCAAGTGAAGGTGTCAGAGAAGATAAGTTGTTCTTATACTGTGTGGTTTTTCTCTGCCCCTGTCCCTTCCCCCTCCCCCACACTGATGCTGTCTCTATAGAAGGAATCTTAACATAGAATCTTGATACATAAAGTTTGATAAAAAGGAACCTGATCTATTTAAAGTAAAACATGAGACTGGAGTCCAAACCCTTTCCACTGCTTCCAGCTGATGGCACCAGAGAACTCTGGTTCCAATAAACAATACAATGTGAAAACCAGTGGTTTAGATTATCTCCATGGAGTTTTTGAGTCTTGAAATTCTACTCCTAAGTTTTCTCATTCTGTCTTGCTAAACAAACTCAACAGCATCACAATAAACCAATGTGGAAGTTATAGAAAAATGTTAAATGATAGTTTAAATCATACCTTCATATTAGTGAACTTCTGATTAAAAAAAAACTTAGAAAAAATGCTATTTCCCTTAAATAGCATTATTATACCCCAAGAGTTCAAAATAGGGCCCTTGCCCCCGAAATTAACAAACCTAATAGAGTGGTCAGCACTAAATAATGACCCTTTTATAAAATACAATCCACACTCTTATTTTAAAAGTCAACTGCTTGCATATACTATTTAGAGTAACAAAATACTTATTTTTTTTTTTTTTAGAATGCAAACAAAACATTTCTATTTATGTTGTATTCCCCAAAGGTTATAGTCACCATTTTATGTCTTAACACTTGTAAAGAATTTATGACTTTTTAAAAAACGCTATTGCATCTCTCAATCTTCCCAGTGCCTAAACAAACCAAAAACCAAACTCACTGCTATTGAGTCAGTTCCAACTCATGTTAACCCCATGTGTGGCAGAGTATAGCAGTTCCATGAGGGTTTCTTGGCAGTAGTCTTTTACAGAAGCCGACTGCCAGGCCTTTCTTCCACAGCACTGCTGCGTGGGTTCAAACTGCCAACCCTGTAGTTAGTAGTTGAATACAAACCATTTGTGCTACTTGGGGACCTTTGTGCCAAACCAGTACCTGGCATTTAGCACATGTGCAATAGTAGGCACACATCTGTGAAGTTAGTAAGTTAATCAATCACACTGTATCCTTGTTATACATCTATAGCCTATACCTCTCTCCCATTATTCAAAAGTATTGTGTTAATCCTATTCTCAATTACCACTTGGGGGACTGAGCTATTGCATCACTGTATCTAAAAGAAGCTCGTCCAAAGAGCTTATACTATTGTTTTCTCCAGATTTTTGTGTCAGTGTCTTGATTATCACCGAAAAATCTATGCTGGTTCCTTTTTGATTTCTGACCACTGGCACTAATTCAAAGGTAATAATACAAACTCTTGCCATCCTTATAATTCTAATGTAATTTTTCCAGCATAAAATTATGTTGCTTTATAATTTAGATTACTAACCAAAAGAAAAAATATATATAATAGAATCTTAATACTCAATAATGTTTGAAAAAACTGAAAATAATACCTGGAACATTTTGAATGATATTCGCCACTAAGGCACTAAAATGGCATCGGATATCCTTCAGTGTGTCAGAGTCTTTTTCATTTTCTGCTTCCAGGAGTTGTCTAGTTAAATCTACGTACTCCAATAAAGTGTTGTTGAGGAAATGTGTTTCATTATCAAGGCCACCACTTGCACTGTAAATATTTAAAAAAATAAACAATGGAATGTGTTTTAAATTATAATTTAAATTGAAACCAATTCCTAGGACTCAAAATCAGAATGATATATATTAAACTTTACACGGTCATAGTAACATGCAACTTAATACATAAAAATGAGATGAACATGATTTTGGCTCACTTAAATATAAGAAGGATTCACCATCCATAACTTGTGCTTTATTTTCCCAGCCAGGATTATGCTTGAGCAAAGATAAGATTTAATAAAGAAAATTCTAGATTACAAGGCTGGTGCTTACTCACTGATCTGCACTGAACACTTTCCCTTGTTACCCTCCCGAGAGGGACCGGGTCTCCGGGAGCAAGGTAAGCAC